CTCCTCTCTGGGAGGAGCTTGGGTCTTATCAACATAACCTGCAGAGTATGTGGAAGCATGTTTTCTAGCTGAGCCTGCGCTAGCGAACACCTGCTCACCTCTCCCTTTTGAATATTCATTCCCCATCCGAAATAAAAGGCCCCTGCTGGCCCCTGCTTGGGGACGCCAGGACTCTGGAAGTGATGCTGCATGGCCTCCTATTTGCTGTAAATATACTTTACTTTGTGTAACAACTACTTCTGGTGGAGCGTCTGATTTTAACTTGCCCGAAGGTGAACCCACTTTCGTTTGGTAACAAGGGAACAAGAGTTTGAGGAAGGGAAGAGGGAGCCAGAGTTCTTTGCCATAGGACAGGTGACAGACAGCGGGGACTTGGACCAGTGTGGCGGTAGACATCAGAGAAGTAGATACTTTTAAGAGATATTTAGGATGTAAAATTGACAAACCTTGGTGATCAAAAGGATGAGGGGAGGAGAAATAACAGAATTTCTGTATTACTGTTGTAATAAAACAAAAAATTAAAATGATCTAAGAATCAAGCTTTTCAGAATTTAAAAAAGAAAAAAGAAGTTTACATAGGAAAATTTCACCAGGATGTAAAATGCTGAATTAGCACCACAAAGCAGGCTGGCGAATCCCGGGGCTGTTCTGAGGTCAGACAGTGATACCAAGACTTCAGTTGGTCTCAACCTCCTCTGCGAATGTTCTAGAACTTTAAAGTTTTGCCACGGGCCTCTATTGTACAATCTGTGTTGGCGCCTCCTACCCCTCTCCAAATCATTTTGATCAGTTCCTCTTTGACAGTAATAGAATTTTGAGCAAGACCTGTGGCTGCCCCAAGAGAAACACTATGTTTCCCCTATTGTCCTTGCAGGTGGCACGGATATATGACAAAGTTCTGTCTAATGCAAAGTACCCAAAGGTGTCACGTGGTGGCTTCCAGGAACCTTGCTCTCTTCTTTGTCCCTTTTTCCATTCTGTTGCCTGCAATGTGGGTACCAACAGCTTGGACCATGAGGTTGAGGCCACACAGGACAGAGTGAAAGATGGATCCCTTACCACGCAGAGGGCTTCACCAACCCCAGACCACCTCCCTGGGCTTAACATGAAGGAAAAATACTCCTCTAACCTAGTTCTCACTTATATAACTGCTAGACACACCCCAAAGTCAGTGAAGACATTTTCATATATATTTGTTTCAACAGACTACGGCCTAAATCAGATTTTAAATTTTGATGAACTGGCTCTCTACCAGAAGCAAATGGCCTAAGGACATTTGTCTTAAGGCAGAAAGCGTCTGCGGCCAGCCCCGTGGCTGAGTGGTAAATTCATGCTCTCTGCTTCTGCAGCCTGGGGTTTTGCTGGCTTGGATCCCGGGCATGGACATGGCACCGTTCATCAGGCCATGCTGAGATGGCGTCCCACATGCCACAACCAGAGACACTCACAACTAGAATATACAACTATGTACTGGGGGGCTTTGGGGAGAAGAGAAAAAAAAAGGGAGATTTGCAACAGATGTTAGCTCAGATGCCAATCTTTTAAAAAAAAAAAAAGAAGAGAGAGAAAGCATGGACCTCTGTGCTGCAGGGTGCAAATGTCAGTGGAAATTTACCCAGGCTGCTGTTTTCATTGGGATTGCATTTGCTTTTGTTTGTGTTCGGATTAAAAAATTGCATGGGGTTTGAGTGGTCTGCCCCAACCCTATTTTTCCCTTAAGCCCTGTTACTTCTATGTGCCACATGGTAGAATGTGGGGTTCTTTAGGAACATGCATATCAAATTATAGCAGATATGCCTGCATGTGCCTCAGAGCACACAAAAGGAGGCTGCCACCAAGGTGCAGTGTGTATGCGATTGCTTGATTGGAGGGAGGGGCAGGAAGGGAGGAAGCAGAGCTCTGGGTCATCCCCATTCCTAGTTTAGATAAGGCAGGAGTAATTAACAGGTCCCTGTGTGGATCCAGCCATCCAGCCGTGCCCTGGCTTTGCACAGGCAGCGCTCCTGGTGAAGGAGGGCAGAGAGGTCCAGTTGGTTGACACAAGACTTCCCAAGCCCAGTGCCCAGTGGGGCCAACCACACTCTACCCAGGCTTGCCACCTGGCCGTCAGAACCCACCTCTGCAACGTGTGTAGAACGAGGAGGGAGATTACACGCCAGATCCGAGTTAGCTTTCTTGCTCTATGGGCCATTTCCATGCTCTGCTGTCGTAGAATCCAGCCCAAGTTTCTATCAGATGTCTCCAAGGCCGGTAGGCTGGCTGTTGATTACGTTCTGACATGCATGGTGAGTAAACTTCAGAGACATCATAAGGTTTCTGTGTTTTCTTACCAAGAACAGAATTTGACCTTGCCTATCAGACTGCATATTCACAAAAGGGTGTGTCCCTCAGGAATCATGGACAGAAAGCTTGAAAGCCAGGGAGTCACGAGACTCCTCAGGGACCCAACTGGCTTCTATTGGTTACACATTACCTTAGGTAGACAATTCTTTTTTTTAAGCTGTGGTTAAAAAAAAAACAAACCACATACCAAAATTTACCATTTTTAAGTGTATAGCTCAGTAGTGTTAAGTATATTCACATTGTTGTGCTCTACTGGTCTCCAGAACTTTCTCATCTTGCAAAACTAAGGCTCTCTATCCACTAAACAACTCCCCATTTCTCCCTCCCTTCAGCTCTGGCAACCTCCATTCTACTTTTTGTATCTATGAATTTGACTACTTTAGTTACCTCATCTAAGTGGAATCATACAGTATTTGTCTTTTGGTGACTGACTTATTTCACTTAGCCTAATGTCCTCAGGGTTCATCCATGTTGTAGGCAAGGATGTGGGGAACTTGGAACCCTTGTACCTTCCTAATGAGAATGTAAAATAGTGCAGCTGCTGTGGAAAACAGTGTGGTGGTTCCTCAAAAAGTTAAACATAGAATTACTGTATGACTCAGCAATTCTACCCCTAGATCTATGCCCAGAAGAATTACAAACAGGTACTCAAGCAAATATATACATATATGTGTGTATATATATACATATGTACACATATGTATACATCTTCATCTTCATGGCAACACTATTCACAATAGCCAGAAGGTGGAAACAGCCCAAATGTCCATCAATGGATGAATGGGTAAACAAATTGTGATATGTACACACAATGGATTATGCAGCTGTAAAAAGGAAGGAAGTACTGATACATGCTACGTGTACCTCAAAAACATTATGCTAAGTGAAAGAAGTCAGGCACAAAAAGGTCACATATTGCATGATTCTATTTATATGAGAAATCCAGAATAGGTAAGTCCGTAGAGACAGAGAGCAGATTGGTGGTTGCCAGGGGCTGAGGGGAGAGGGGAATGGGGTGTAGCTGCTTAATGAGCGTGGGTTTTCCTTTGAGGGTGATGAAAGTGTTTCAGAACTAGGCAGAGTTGGTGGTTACGCAACATTGTGAATGGGCTATATGCCACTGAATTGTACATTTTAAAAAGGCTATTTTTATGTTATGTGAATTTTGCCTTAATAAAAGAAAGGGAATAAATCCTCAAATGCTCTATGATGGTATGCTACAGCCCATCTCTTTCTGACTGTACTTAGTGACCTCACATTAATAGCGTTAGAGGAAATTTTCAAAAAAAAGGTAAAAATTATGACTTTCGTACAAATGACAAATAAGCACGTGTTTATTATAGATTTTATTTAACCCACTTTTGGCGCCCTAGGCAGATGTTCTAATTGATTTCAAAGAGAATCCAAAGAGCTGACACATTCATAGAAGAGGAATGTTGAAATGAGTTTGCAAATGGATCTACGTGGGTTCTTGAGAGGGAGGGACGTCAGCGGAACCTCCCCTGACAGAGTTCATTTGCATGTTTATAGACAATTAGTTTGCACTAGCATCGGTTATCTACAACTTGCAGAATTGTAAGCTCAAAGGCATGCTGAGGGCAGAGCCCTGTGGAATCAGGAAGTGCACTGTCAGCAATGCAGTTTTCCACTGAAACACACATCTTTCCCTGCAGTCATCTGACATCGGCATCGGTGGGAGCATCACAGTTATCAGCAAGGCCCCCCACCTCTAGTCCAGCCCTTGCAGAACAGTTACAGCACCCCAGGAAATCTAGCACTACGTGACGCCCCAGGACCAGATAACACACCCTACATTTCCAACCCAGGATCTTGCGGAACGTGTTATGTGTCAGTGCAAAATAACCAAGAACCAGTCTATAGATAAGAGACATAAGGTGAGTTTTACTTGAGCCGGGATGAGGAGTATAGTCTCGGAAGGCAGTTTCCACAAAGGAAGAAAGCATTCTGGAGAAGCATGGTTTTCATTACAGTCTTAAACACTTTTAGAAGAAAGAATATACATTAAATATGCCCAGAATACATAATCATCAAAGTTTCAAAGAGGTATTCAGTTGCAAGTTAGCAGGTCAACGTGACCCTGAAGTCTGGAAATGGAATAATATGGTTACCAAAAGGGCGTAGGAGGGGAAGTAAGCATTCTTATCTTGAGAGCGTATTCTTTAATTTAATGGTTAAAGCAAATGTACAACGTGTGTTCAATAGGCCATGAGTCAGCTTCTTTAGTTCAAGTCAAATCAGTTTTTGAACCTGAATAGTTACCCCATATGCCTCAATATATGAAAATCTCTTGTCATATGGAAGCCAGCAGCCTACAGAGGCTGCCCAGCCACTCAAGTTCCCCTAGAAACCAAAGCATGTGAGCATGCCCACACTCTTGAAGCCTCTGGAAGAGGAGTTCCTCCAGGCCTTCAGGTCTGTGGGCCGGCAGCAGCCACGTCACCTGGGCAGACTCCTGGGCTCCACCCCAGACCTGCTCAATCCAAAGCTGCATTTGAAGCAGATCCCCAGGCGGTTCCGGCTTTCATGAAAGCCTGAGAAGCACGACTGTGCTTTTCCTGAATGTGCCCTCAACAATTCCTCCCTGGACACCCAGCCCCAAGGCCTCCCGGATCTGTGCCCCACCAAGGCAGACTCACCCCTGGGACCGACACAATGTCCTCAATCCTCTCCTCATCGTTGCTCATCTGGGCGCTGGCTGGCTACCTTCGGGCAGCACACACACCTGCCCTCAGACTCTCACCTCCTGTTTCTCCTTCTCCTCCCGGGGTGGTGGGGCAAGAGGCAGGGAGGAGACAGACGCTGGCTGCAGGAGGTTTTCTCCGCTGGTATTTGAGAAGCTCTCCCTGATGCAATGGGCCCAGACAAACCCAGGGATTCGCTGCCAGCCAGGGAGAAGAAAAGCTACAGAGAGGATTAGAGGAAGGGAGTGTCTGCTCCTGTCTTTGGCACAATGGCCCTGAGAAACTCCCCAAATGCTTGCGAAACAGAGGCCGCCCGACAATAGGTTTCAGATTCCTCCCTCCAAGGGCCACCATGGTCTGCTGGGACTGGGCCTGGGGCACTGGAAACAGACTGGTGGAACTAGCTGAGTGGGGTGGGGCAGGGAGTGGAAGCTTTAGTGTCACTGAGATAACACAAGAAAGGCTAGCAGTGATAATGATGACAGCTGCAGTGTGCGGAGCTCTGTCTCTGGCTCAGGTTGTGCTGAGCACTGGCTCTCATTTCAGTCTCATGATTATCCCCATTTTAAGTGAAACCACAGCTAAGAGAGGTCACAATTATTTGCCCAGAGCGATACAATTATAAATGGCAGAGCTGGGGTTGAGCCAGTATCTCTCCTTCCAGAGCCTCATGGCTCAAAAACCTGGCTGTTGGGCTCACCTTTTCCTCCTGATCTCTTTCCTTAGACCATGGCTTGTCTGCCATAACATGGCTGGATGGAGACCAGGCTGCCTCCACCAACATTGCTTTACTATTCCCAGGAAACTCTGGCCCAGAAAGATACAAATTGCAAATAACTTTATTGTTCACTCCAAGAACTTCCCAGAAAGACTCCACAGCTCTTCAATAGAAAGCATCCAATAACACATTACACCCAAAACTCTTTAAACTCTTGAAGGGGTTCAGAACAAGCCTCCCCAAGTTGCACCACTTTGGCATGTGAAATAATTCCAGCTAAAGGATCAAGACTGATGAGGGCTTGGTGAGCTGAGGAGTCGAACAAAGGATTTCTTGGAGTCTCAAGGTCTGGTCGTAGTGCTCCTTTATTCAGAGAATAGTATGGAGACGGGACCCCTGGGCAGTAAGAGCTGCAATGGGTTGAGGGTAGGGTTAAATTTATAAGGCATAATTATGCAAGTTATTTTTTTACAAGACAAAGGAAAGATCATGTAAAAAAGTCATTAAAATTGTGTCAGTGTAGGTTATTGTGCTGGTTATTGTGTGGTTGTATAGCTTTAGATACGAATCAGGTCGGGATGTCCTATACTCCCCAGAGGGTGATATAGATTGGCATGTAGGCCAGAATGCCTTGGGCTTCTCTCTCTGGGGCAGCCTTGATCCTCATTGTAAAACCCCCCCTGAAACCATTTGGTTCCGAAATCCTTTGGGGATATGGACAATGGTCAATCTTCTGTAACTACTCCCAGCTGTACAAGGTTGTAGAGCTGGCCCTAAATGGGGCTACAGGGGTTCAGGCAGAAAGTTCAGTGGACTGGAATGTTGTGGCCATGGAATCCAAGGCAGACAAGTTATATAGATCCTCTGGAGACGAGAGAATCACTTGATGAGAAGTGGTCCAGGAGATGAAACTTTGTTGACGTGTGGAAGACAAACAATGAAATAGACAGCAAATTATAATAAGAAATACAAGCAATGTGATTTACCCAATAAATAAAGCGTTGGTAGTAGTCCAGAGACCTGGACTTGCCCAGGAGTGCAGCCAATCATTCAGGGATAGGGTAGAGTTGGATGTGGATTTAATTTAGTGGCTCATATTGGATGGGAAGCCAGAAATATTTTGATGGTAACCAGGAATATAGACACAGCATTTGGCTTTTATAATGGCACAAGTGCCCCCAGTGCTGCCGTCAAGACATCCAGTGCCATTTGGTTTTGGAGGACCACCTTATGCATTTGGGATACTTCTAAATTGAGCAGCAAAAGGCTATGTTGTGTATCATTTAATGCCTTCATGGTAAATTTGTTTAGGGCTTCCATGTGCCAGAGGACACTTTCGATTCCTAACTGGGTAAGGAAAAGTGAGGCAAGGTGATCATACCAGTGGAAGACAGAAGGGGCCCAGCGTTGTTGTGGGTTGGGTAGGTTAGCAGGAGGAGATACAGTAAATGTAGTTCTACCTTGCATCCAGACGAAGCCTAGGGTGCATCGTCCAACCCAGCCAGGCAGCAGCCAAGGCCATAAGTTGGAGCCACGTAACCACTGAGTGCCGTTAGGGGCTAACCAACGTGTGCTGGGCCATCTATCCCAGTCAGTCCCAAACCAATCAGTATTTTTTAAGGCTATGATATGAGAACACATATAATGGGGAATTTGTCCCATAGGTCGGGCGCTAGTAGGCCACGTAGCACAGGTGTGATTGACAAAGAAACTTGGCTACTTCTGTGACATACAGCACTTCAAGACAGTAACTGGAATTATGGCTGACAACCAGGACAGATCAGAATTTTAGGAATGTTATATAGTTTTAAAACATTTATATCAATAGCATTCACCCACATAATACCACCTAAGAATGTTTATCATCACTTATTTGACAATGCTTCCCACGTGATTTAATAGACCAAATAAGTCTAATTACTTTAGTATTTTCCTCCTTATAGGAAGAGAGAGCAAATCTTTTTGAGAAATCTCAGGGGCCCTCTGAAAATCCTCCTAGAAAGCCTCTTCCTTCTTCCAGGTCAAAAGAATGCCTTTATTCAGGACTTGAATATTTGTTTGAAGGAGAAGCTTGCCAAAAATATCAAGAGGTTTTAAAACACTTGTTCGAATAAGATTCAAAGTGACAACAGAAACAGTCAAAAGATCTTTAACAGAGAGACCTCAGTCCTTCTGAACATAGAGAATTATTTTATTTTAACAAAACATAGATTTTCCATCTTTTAGGTAGACTTACTCAAAGAAACACCTTTTATAACCTCTTTATCAAGAGCAGACCAGGGGCCAGCCCGGTGGTGCAGCAGTTAAGTTCACATGTTCCACTTTGGTGGCCCAGGGTTCGCTGGTTCAGATCCCAGGTGCAGACATGGCACCACTTGGCAAGCCATGCTGTGGCAGGTGTTCCACATATAAAGCAGAGGAAGATGGGCACGGATGTTAGCTCAGGGCCCGTCTTCCTCAGCAAAAAAGAGGAGGATTGGCAGCAGGTGTTAGCTCAGGGCTAATCTCCCTCCAAAAAAAAAAAAACAGCAGACCAAAATTTTAAGAAAATTATCCTTTTGAGAGAGAAAACAACTTTCGATTCTTGTACCAGCTTATTTTTTATATTAAAACTGATTTACTTGGGCTGGCCCCGTGGCTAAGTGGTTAAGTTCGTGTGCTCTGCTGCAGGCGGCCCAGTGTCTCGTTGGTTCGAATCCTGGGCACGGACATGGCACTGCTCATCAGACCACGCTGAGGCAGCGTCCCACATGCCACAACTAGAAGGACCCACAACAAAGAATATACAACTATGTATGGGGGGGCTTTGGGGAGAAAAAGGAAAAAAAATAAAATCTTTAAAAAAAAAAACTGATTTACTTAATTGGATTTACTTTAATCTTAGCCAACTTGACCAGGCATAAAACTCTCTCAGAACTTCTCTTTCAGAAACCTTCTATAACTTTCTTTTTACATTCAGAATTTGTCCCATGCTTTCATTCTTCCCTTCTACTACTTTAGGATGAATTTATCTTTCTTAACCCAACAAACAAAAATACTTCCATTCTTTATACCTTTTTTACTGAAAATAGACATTTTAATTTCCTTGTATACAGAGCTGTTTTTCTTATTAATTTTTAGTAGCTTTAATTACGTATACTAATTAGAATTTTTAACCTTTAACAGACCCTAGTAAAAAACTAAAAAGGTAAGCAATTATGAACTGTCTTTCATATCAGCATTCTAAATACTTTTCATAATTTCTAGAAAACATGCTACTTCATAGTAATAAAACACAGGCATGTTTACTAATAGACCCAAACATCCTTTAGCCTCTCTGCAATAAGAAGCCCAAAGTAGATAACTTAGACATGTTCAGCAATAATGTTTCATGTTCCATCCTATCTGAAAATGACCCAGATACTCAACAGATTTTTATCATTTAACTTAACTTGGCAAAACTCTAAAGTTTTAAGTTACCAAAAATAATTTAGAAGCTGTTTTTTCACCACTTATACAGACCATAAAACATAATTATCGTACCCAAAAACTCTTACCCATTTTAATCTATCTAAATCATTTGTTTCCAACAATTATGTTCAGATTACCCCCCAAAACTTCATGAGACATTAGACAAAATTAGCTATCATTTAAAGCTATTATTTTGCTGATGAATTTCTAACAGACAACACGAGTTTATTTGACTAGTAAACCCAGGCTGCATGCCTGCATCATATCCAAATACCAACAGCTCTGATGACATGCCTATTTCAATCAAGCCAAGAATCTTAAACAAGCTTTTGTTTACCAAAGATTAATTTATCTCATGTTAACTTGAAAGACACTTGGGTTAATTTCTATTACATTTAGAATTTATGTAAGTGCTTACTTTAAGCCAATTAAACAGAGCTCTTGATTTTGGCCATACAATCTAGAGGTAAAATATCACACACATATAACATACATATAGACACACATACACAGAATCTCCACAGCTATTGTTTTAAAATTACTGCCATGAATCAGGTACAGTAATATAAAGCTCCCTAGTTATGAATCCAAATTTTGTTTTGAGCCTTTTTACTAATATTTGTGGAGAAGACATTTAAGATGCTAGATTTTTTGGCAAGGGCATGCTTACGGCTGTTTTTTGGCCTTTTCCCCTTTTTTTCCTTCAGTCTTAGGAATTAGTGATGGGCTAGACAGTCCCCAGAGGATTTGGGAGCTCTTTGAGATGAGGGAAATGGGTGGAACCTGAACCACCTCCAGAGCTGCATTTCCAGCCTTATAAGGATTTTCCAAGGACAGTTGCTCTTGATTTCTCAGAAACTGGGTTGTAACTCAAATGACAGTATAGGTTGATCTACCTGTCCAACGACATCATAAAGGCACAGAGAAACCCCTCAAGTTTTCTCCAAGATGGAGTTCCTGGGACATAACCCATCCAGTTGAAAGTGTTTCCAATTAATTAAAATGCACCCAAGGGGTGAGTCTCCAGGGATGCTTGGGGCATCCCCCATGGCAGTAAAACTCTGTCAGCATCTGACTGACAGTGGGCTGGAGAAGGGTGCAGAGCCTGACTGTGGGCATCAGTATAGTTATAAGATTTAGTCAAATCCCGCTCAACCTGGGCACTTAGTCCCTGAACCAGCACAACACAAGCCAGGGAAGCAGGAGGCAAAGGCCTGGAGCTGGAAGGAGGCTGGGTCTCCTAGTGCCAGAGTTGAGAGTTAAGTCCCTGGGAAAAGGTTTTCAAGTTTTTGATTTTACAGAAAGTCCAAGCTCTGCTTAGGTGTGGCCTGAACTTAACCTCGACTTGGTGACAACAGAGGAGGTGATGAACGAGACAGACAAAGAAAGGAAAAGAAGAGATCAGGCCTCGTCCTCATGGCCTCTTCCCAAGGGTTATCAAGACAAGGGTCACACGGGGCTGGCCCGGTGGTGCAGCAGTTAAGTACACATGTTCCGCTTCTCGGCGCCCCAGGGTTCACTGGTTCGGATCCCAGGTGCAGACATGGCACCACTTGGCAAAAGCCATGCTGTGGTAGGCGTCCCACATATAAAGGAGAGGAAGGTGGGCATGAATGTTAGCTCAGGGCCAGTCTTCCTCAGCAAAAAGAGGAGGATTGGCAGTAGTTAGCTCAGGGCTAATCTTCCC